TATAAGAAAAAGCAATGATGGACTGACCCTGTAGTAACTACTGTATGCATGTTTATGCATAAAAAAGCTCAAATCTGGGTGTAATTCCCATGAAAGGAAAAAACAAATGCCAGTTCAATTACATTTTGGTAATAATTGACAATGTGTCCATAAAAAAAAAATAATATATAAATTATCACAAGTTGTGTTGAAAGAATTACAGTCAGTCATGGTGGACTGATCCTTTTAGTGCAATTAAATTTTTAGATTATATTTTTGAGGTCTTAGATGACAAACAAAAATTTGAAAAGTAACAAAAAGAGAAAGGAATAAAAGTGGGTGAAATCTTAACAAAATAGAAAACAAATTATTGTTTGTCCTTCAAGTGTCATTTTATAGTTTAATATCTGTGTCCATTAATAACATTAACAACTTCTTTTTTGCTTATATTTTCATTATTTGGTCAATTTATTTTTCTTTGCTGAATTGAAAAAAAACGCTAGGCAATAAAACAAAAGGTCTTCGGATAGTAAACATAAAACACACCTAGGACTAGTAGTACAGCAGTAGTTTTCTATTAACAGTTGGAAAAATTACGATAACGAAGCTAGGCTGAAACAAATCGTTTTTGTTTCATTCATTGTCTGAGCGTAAACCAACAGTTGTCGGCGACTTGTTTGTTTGTGTACTGGCCTTGGGCCTAGGCCTAGCCCGATATTATATATTGGCAAGATATCTTACGTTTCCTTGGATGCTCTCTCAGAACAGACTAATGCTAGGCATAATGCTGAGAAAAATGGATATCGAGTTACGAGAAATTCACCGACATGACGTTGGAAACGCCGAATATCTGTCTCTCTTTCTGAGCTCATGATTGTAGGTAGGCTTAAGGTGTGTTATCTTGGCGATAGGAATACACGACCACCAGCATGACCTGAGCATCATGACCATGACCAGCATGACAGTGGTATAGCGCCCACAGGCGGTACAAAACTTCTACACCATGTACCACAACCAGTAGCTGCATTCTTTGATAATGATCCGATCACTCATCATTCGCGTATTACAATTTTGCTGCAAAATCCATCAAGCGCTATTAATATTATCTGCATAACATAACACAAAAATAGCAACATACACATCCTAACAAAATAAACTGCAAGAATTATTAGTGACTCTTTTAATAGTACTATGACTGATTTTTCAGGTTTTTAAAATGTAGGCCTAAATTATTAATATATTATTAAACTATTATAACATTATACGCTTAACAAACCATAAAACCGGATCCACATCCTAAATAATAATTACAATTATGTAAAAATATAATTTAACGGAAAATAGTAATTTAGGCATATCCATCCGTATAATTTTTGGGTTTTTTTTTTTTTTAAATTTTGGCCTATGCCTCTATTATATTTACCATTTTAATTTATAAGATCTAAAATAAGCGTAGATGTAGGATGAGAAAGAAAATGGAAGAAGTCATGAAGTATAAATTCGTGTATGCGACTTTGGATGGGAAAACTATACAAGAGGATGATGATCATCCCCTTGATAAGGGGGGGGGGGCACAGCTGGTAGGGTTGCAGCTTCTGTTTTTCATGGCAAATTCGAAGCCCAAGTACTAGCTTAACGATAAATATGAATGAAGATTTAACATTCCCTTTTAATCTTTATTAATGAAAACACCAAATTTAATATTACAAATAGGTACCTTACCAATTTGTGGAACCATCTAAATTGTAGTATCCATAACAGCGCCCCCCCCCCCCAACCACCAAATGTCTCCGAACGGTTCTTATGCGTGTAATTATGCTTGTCCCTTTTTTCTATTTGATCTATGCTTGTTATAGGGTATTGAATAAATTAATGAATGAAAATAAGAATTTTTATATTAAAAAAATATGTACCTTTTCCCATTTGTGGAACCCATCCAAACTGTGGTACCCATAAGATCCCCCACCGGATTACAGGCCTATCCGAACGGTTCTTGCGCTTGTAATTATGCTTGTTCTTTTCGTCTTTTTGATCTTTGCTTGTTATGGGGTAGTTAATAAATTAAAAATCAAAGATCTTCTTGGAAGGGTTCAGGAGAAAGCTAGATGATATAAAGCACAGGTGGGCAAAGTGCAGGACGCATGCGGCCCAATAGTTATTTGTTTGCGGCCGCGAAAACAAATTTAAAAACCCTATGCGTGCGGGCCCGCCAACCGTCGTCAGCTATAGAAAAACACCTAGTTTTTTACGGCCTGACACCGATCTTGTGTAAAAGTAATATTAAAACTGAGAATAAATTGGTATAAAAGCAGTGTATTTCGGAAGCACACTGGAACCAATCAAAGGTTGGGTGCGGCCCTCGGTGTTAAATAAAAAAAAATACTTTGGCCCTCTGACCGATTGTTATGCCCACCCCTGTTCTAAAGTAAGCGTAGGTTGTCATATATGGGAAGATGTACGGCTTCATACTTTTTTAATTGTTTTTTGTTGTTTTTTGTTGTTTTTTTTTTAGGCAAAGGCCGACAGTTTAAGTAAACAATTAAGCAATGTCTCGTCAGTTCCTCGGTATATTTCTTAATTGAATAAGGATTGATTTAGGCATACAGTAAGCTCAAATGTTATTGGCCAGTAGGCCTAATTAATCTTCGTTTCGAGTCGAGCTTGTTGGAATAACCTTCCCGATATGTGACATCGGCCACCTACCATTAAGGTTTTACACTCGGGGTTTAGTTTTGGTTTTTTTTTCTCTTGGGATTAGAAGTATTATCAAGTTATTGAGAGGTGTCAAAATTGTACAAGCACGAGCTATAGGCCTACACGAGGTATAGGCCTATGTGCTTATACGGAAAAAAAACCCAAGTACCGGGTACTCTATTTTCGGTACTCCGGACAATTCAATAACGCCTTTTTTAACCGGAAATCTCCAAAAAACCAGGCTTACAGAGCAAAAGAAATAATTCACATTCCTCTTAAATAAGGAGAGTCATTGGGATTAGAAGTATTATCAAGTTATTGAGAGGTGTCAAAATTGTACAAGCACGAGCTATAGGCCTACACGAGGTATAGGCCTATGTGCTTATACGGAAAAAAACCCAAGTACCGGGTACTCTATTTTCGGTACTCCGGACAATTCAATAACGCCTTTTTTAACCGGAAATCTCCAAAAAAAACAGGCTTACAGAGCAAAAGAAATAATTCACATTCCTCTTAAATAAGGAGAGTCATAAACTTGAGGAAAACTATCACCATGTGAAACACATTCGACTGTTACATGGGGTTTGTGAAAAGACATATATAACAGTATGATAATTCTGTTTCAGGGAGTTGTTGCCTGGCATCATCTCGCGCTGCAAAGTTCATTGCATTTGTTCCCCGCCGAGCAGACTATGATAGAGAACAGCCAATCAGCGCACTCCAAATGGGAAATAATATTTAGAAAATGATGTGTTTAAAATTGAAACGATTGAGTTTAGCTAGAAGACACTAAATGTTTAAGAAAATAAACGTCAATGTGGTGATGTTTAGCAATTTGACATGTTTAGAATGTTTAATTGCTAAACACTGGTTTTAGAGTGTGGGAGTTTGTGAGAAGACATTTATAAGAAAATTATTATTAATTATTTGATAAAATGAAACACTCAGTGGTGGCGCCAGCGAGGAAGGGACAGGAGGAATTTGCCCACCCGTCGGACAAGTCTGGACCCCCTAATTCCAAAAATAATAATAAGGGAGTTTTTCTTCCGGGCTGTCGACCGATACGTCGTCGGCCCCTTGGCTCAGACATGTCGGACCCTGTGTCGGCATCTGGCGCTACCGCTGGAAACACTGTTAGCACTTTCTTGACGAACTTAAATTATGTTAAGCTGTTTCGCCAGCAATCTATGCTGGTTTTATTGGGTACAGTAAAGATTTCGAGTCAATTCAGCCTCATGCCAACTTGGCCCAAAGTCAGCACGGTGTCCCAAGTCAAATCAGCCACAAGTCAATTCGGTCCCAAGTCAAGCCGGCCCTAAGAAGTCAATTCGGCGAGTTGACTTGGTGCCGAGTTGACCTGCTTCCGCAGCGAATTGTAGTTTAAATAATTTGATGGAAACTTTTAAGTATCGACAGTCGGTAATACAATAAAATTTTGGTTTCACTTATGACAGGATGTGGTTTCATAACTGTACAAATCTTTCATGTTAAAAAAAAGCGGAAAATACGTAATTGTGTAAAGTATATAATTATAAAATACCGGTAGTTACCTTTATTATCCTGATAGAGGAAGTAATATGAACGGTCTGGCCATACTGGTATTATTTGAGCTGAATGATCCGACCTAGGTGACAATACGATAATACACGAGAAAGGTAGTAATTCCTGTCCGCCCGCCTGCAGGGGCAGATCCAGAAAAAAAAAGTCTGGGTGGGGGGAGGGGGCATGCGACCTGCGAAGTAACAACCCAGTGTGAAAGGGGTGACAAAATTAATAAGAGTCCACAAATTCCAACTTATTTAGAGGTATCATGCAGTTCTTTTCTCTCTCCCTATCTTTCTTTTGTCTTATTTTCTTCTCTCTCTGGATTCGCTACTACAGGCCTTATATTGGCAGCTATGATTCCCTGCTTCCTTTTTACCTACCTACAAATTATATCTCCCTCAATATATATTCATGTTTTATATAGCTTTCTCTCTGTGTTTTTTCCGTTACTTTTTAACTGTTTTGTCGCTGATTTGTCCAAGTGGGTCCCTTCATATCAGCCATGCCGAAAGGGCTACCCACTTAAAATATAGTTGAATAAATAATAAATTTGTAGTCCTGGAGATGTAAAAAAAGACATTAGAATATTATGGTTAATGATGTTTGCAATTTTTCTTGTATAATTTCCTTTGATTGTATAACGTCATATGCTTATTCATTGATGTTTCGCCATACATCTAAACTAATCCAAGACTCATACTTGAATGAGAATGTTGGCGAGTTGATTGACCGAGCGGTTAAATTCAGTGGCACCGTCCTTCAGCTATATCGGCGCTGGTTCAAACGGCTCGCCAATGGTTCCGCTGGTGGAATAAGTCTTCTCGGATAAAGACCCAGTGTACGTATTTTTCGTGTGCACTTTAAAGAACCCAGTACATCCTTTGAAATAGAGGGGCTCAGGGAGGGACTGTCACAGACTGAGGGTGTTGACCACTTGGCCCCACCATGATTGGGTTTGAGGCAAGCAAATTTATGATTATGGCACCTCTATAGATGGCCGAAATGACACTCTTAGACCTAAATTTAAGTATATTTTTCTTTTTTTTTTTATTTGTTAAATCATTTTGAAGAATTGGTGGGGGGGGGGGTAGGGACGGAACCATTGAAGACCGAAATTCTCACTCCACGCATTCATAGAAAAGCTTGTTCACAGAGCAATTCAGCTGCAGATGCGCCTTGACGCAACAGTTGCGTCAATTCGTCGGATTGGTCTTGTGGGAACCAAGCCTTAAGCTCTGTCCAGATTATGAAACTGTTGTATGCCCATATATGGTCAAGTGCCTATTATGGTCATGATGTCATGTCATCATGACCATTTTTTAGGCACGTCATAAGTGTTTTTTGTCAAATGAAATTTGTCAAATAACATCTGGTCTTTGTGATAGACATGCTGTGAATTTACGTGAACTGTGATAATCTAAAAAAACGTATTACTTACAGTGGCAGGGGCAATTTTGTAAGTACGGTAATGTATATAGAAAACATGAAGAGTCCACGTGTGTTCATATGAATAATACAGAAAGAAAACAGAAAACGGTGTAGACTTTTAGAACACTTCTTTATTTAACATGAATATATTAGGTCCTCTCAAGTATGGCATATATATATATATATATATATATATATATATATATATATATGCCTATATACATATATACCATGTGTA